TTGCTTTGGTTTCCCCTTTTGTCCAAGATCTCCAGATCAGCACCATTTTATATCCTGAGATATATGGACTTTGGATACTTATCCCTGCATTATATGGATAAAATCCAGCACATGAATTTTCAAAGGATCCACTTGTGATCTTCTTGCATGGTAATGGAATTTCCCTGAAGATTCTTCATACATTTGTATATGCTAATATTGTCAAGCATACTCTCAGAAGATCCTTGTTTGCATTTCTTCAGATATAGACATACAGACAGACAGAGAGACATACAGAGAGAGTTACATCATTAATCCCCAATAGGAGATATACACCTGCTCGGTGAATTTAAAGATAAAAACATATCACACAGGATAAAATTTACAGAATTTAAACAATAAATAAATAAAATAAATAATAATATTAATAATAATAATATAAAAAGCCTCAGTCCTTCACTTTAATACAATTTCAATTCAGTTTATTTTCTTAGTGCAAATTCACAACTCGTCATCTCAAGGCACTTTACAGTTCACCAGATCATACAATTAAATTCATTCAAAGTTTTCTATCTAAGGAAAACCTGACGATTGCATTGACTCAGTGACCTGAAGGCAATCCCTCACACTCAGCATGCTTGTAGCGACAGTGGAGACAAAAAAAATCCCTTTTAACAGGAAGAAACCTCTAGCAGAACCAGGCTCAGTGTGAGCGGCCATCTGCCGAGGCCAACTGGGGTTTAAGGAGACAAAAGCAGAGATACAAAAGGCAACTGTAAAAGGCGGCCCGTCCAGGAAACACACCGCCAGGTGTACAAGCTCCAAGCCACTTCCTATGTCAGAAGATGTGAGCACATCCAGCCAGTCAATGTCAAAGAAACATGACTACACTGAAAAACAGGCCATCTTGAACATCTATAAACAAAGGTTAATGGCAGCAGCACAGCTTATATTACTCTCCAGGATGGAGAGAAGGCTTCAAGAGGCATTAAACTGTGTAATGGCAGCCGGGACAAAATACCTTCTGTATCTCTCCGTTCTGGTGTCCCTGTTCCCATCACTGCAGCACACCTTATCAGGAACTTGTCTATTCTGTTCCTGCTAGTAATGCTGTCCACCACAGAATGAGAAAACAGGAAAAGTCTGTCCCTACACATATCAAACGGTCTAGGTCGTCTTAGGAAGTAAAGTCTGCTCTGTCCCTTTTTGTATGCCACATTTGCCTGCCCCGATCAGTCCAACTTATTGTCAAGGTGGACTCTATGGTACTTATATGTGGAGACCACCTTGATTTCCACATCGTCAAAGATGAAAGGTCTATGTTGAACTCTTCTCTTGCTAAAGCCCATTCATCTCCTTTGTTTGGTCAGTGTTTATAAGCAGCCCATTGCCCTTGCTCCACTGTAAGAACTCGTTGATCACGGCTCTGTACTCTGATTCATTCCCACTCTTCAAGCAGGCCACTACAGCTGTATCATCAGAGTATTTCTGAATATAGCATGATGGTGACACATAGGCAAAGTCCAATGTACAAACTGTGAAGAGGAGTAGGGAGAGGACAGTTCACTGAGGACCACCCATGCTTGTCATCACGGTTCCAGAAACAGCCTTACCCAGTCTGACATACTGTGGCCTTTCTGTCAGCTAGCTGTTGATCCATGTGAACAAACTCTGGTCCACCTGCCATTTCTGAAGCTTCTACTTTAAGATGGCAGGATGGATGGTGTTGAATGTGATTGAGAAATCAAAGAACATAAGTTGAACATATCCCCTGTGCCATCTAAAAAGGAGAGTGCCCTATGCAGCAAGTAAAGAATGCCATCCTCCACACCCATGTGGGGTCGATAGGCGAACTGTAAGGAGTCAATCAGAGGTTGTAGTTGTGGCCCAAGAAGCCTAAGTAATAGCCTTTCAAAGGTGACTACACATATAAGGGCCACTGATCTGTAGTCTTTGACCCTGCAGGCCTCCCACCCTTAGGTCCTGACACAATGCATGTACCACTGCCTTGATTTCTGCCTTGTGTATGTATCTTTCAGTTAACCTCTTAAAACCCACCAGGTCGCTGGCCGACCTTAAGTGGGGGTAATAATTCAGAATGCATAAAATTCCACCAGTAACACTTTTACCAGCAGGTGGAGCCATTGACCCAGCTCCAAGCTGACACCAAAAGTTCTATACCTCACAGCTCTAGAACTGTTATAGCTAGAGGTCTGAAATTTTCTTTGTTTGTGTTTGGCATGATGTAGAACAAATATAATAGAGAATGTCTTTATTACTGCTGTTGAAAAAAGACCTATCATTTCCGAAAATAAAAAACAACATAGAGTCATGTTTGAACTGATGCAGGTTGGTCTGTTTTCTAGTCACCCAATTTTAAGTTCCTAAGTTATTTGCTTTTCCATTTGGGTATGCAAAATAAGAAAGGATTACCCAAAATGAGGTGGATGTTAAGAGGTTTAATAAACAGAGATTGATGGATTTCACTCAGTCAGCATTTTGATACATCTTTGGAAAGAGAGAACAAGGCATCATACTTCCCTTACTTCATGGTAATCAGCCCTGTTTTGCTTTAGACAGAGTTACTCCCGTTACTTAGAGTAGTCAGAGTCAAAACAAATTACACTCTGGTTAAACAGTAACATGTTATGAATAAACCCTGAGAAAGGATCTGTCTTGTTGCAGGACTAAGAAATTTGTGTATGCAGTCACTCCTCACTCAGACATTCTGTGGCATTTCAGGTGTACAGTAAGAAACATTTTCTCTGGATAATTAGCACAACTCAATAAATAAAATAACAGAAATCTAAATTTTCTGACCACACATAATTTATGTGTTAGAAAAAAAAAAAAAAAACTAATGTCAGTTTTTTCCAGTATTGTGTAGCCCTACTGTGGAATAATAATGATCATCTAGTTAAATTTAAGTGCATTAATCTGTATTTGGTCATCTTTCCTTCAAGGTTCTTTGATTTGTTTGCTTTCCTTTTTTTATTAAACTTGAAGAATTTGGCAGCAGAAGCTGAGTTTGTATTGATGGAGCTGCTGGTGGAGCTGACAGAGATAAAGAGCTGAAGTCAGCAGGTCTTTATTGGAGCAGCAGCATGTTGGCGTTAATATTAATGAGAGCTCTTTAACTGCTTCTGTCGGACTGTTCTAACCTGCATCCTGTTGGATCAGCTCACATCTTTCTATTCTTTATCCAGGTTGTATGACTGCGGTTTGTCAGAGATCAGCTGTGCTTCTCTGGTCTCAGTTCTGAAGTCAAACCCCTCCCATCTGAGGGAACTGGACCTGGAGTTGAACAACCTGAAGGAGTCAGATATTCAGCAGCTGCGGGATCTTGAAAAGAGTCCAGACTGCAAACTGCAGATTCTGTAAGTAGATGGGTGGAGTCAGTCCAGCTGCTGTCAGCTGGATTGTTCTAAACCCAGTTAGTATCAAAGCAAAGATCCAGTGTTTCCAGTAAAGCAGCAGCTTCTCATGGGGAGGAGAAAGGTGACAGGCTTCCTGATTGGACATAGAGACACCAATCAGCCAATCAGAGGAGCCAGAAGCTGGTTGTGTTCCTGTGTTTGTTTTGCTGTGAAGACGACTGTTGTTGTTGTGGTAATGTCTCCAGGAAATGAAGCTGGATTCCAGCTGCCAGCCTTCCAACATGTCTAGAGACAGTGAACCTCATCCATCAAACTATGGGAGCATCAGATCTGATCTCAGACTCTTTGTTCTCTCATTTCAACAGGAAACAACTGACCAGTTTAATCTTAGCCACAGCTCTGAGATCAGTCTGAATGCAGCCTGGAAATCAGTAGCTCTGATTTTGTTAATGCTCAAATGGTAGAATTTGAGACACTGCAAACGATTATCTTCATCAACCCAAACGGAGTGGTGGGAAAAGTTTATTGACAAATCAAATTCCACATGCTTCACAATAGAGTACTCACTCTCATTTCAAAGTTTTTTCCTCCTTAGACAATGCACCCATTTGAGTTATATTTATAGCTTTTTGTAAGACGTTGTGAATGTGTGTGTACAACAGACTGTATTGCCTTCTGGACTGTGTGGAAACTAACTGGATGTGTGTGTGTGGAACTCTGTGTTGTGCTCTGAGCATGTTTCAGATTCTTGAAAAGGAAAAAGATGCTATTGCCAAAATTCTCCGGCACATAAACTGTTCTCTAATCTTTTGCCCACCATGCAGCCAGCATTTACTCTGTACATGCCTCTTCTGCGCTAAGTAGCCAACAAATCTTTTGGAGATCTTTGCTTGCTGGACAATGTCAAACTACCTTTCCTACAATTCAGAAGGTGTTGATCATAGTGGCTGTGTTTTCCTGTGATTCAAATCAAGTTGAACGCAGTGTTTCCCGAAACTGCCTTATGCAGCAGAGAGAGAGCTAACCTACATCTAACAATGAAAGGGGCAATAGCAGGGCCTAATTACCTGTGACTGATAAGAGCTGGGGTGCTGCTACATGAAGCCATGGCTGCCAGCTAAACTCTGTAACTAAAGGGAGTGGTCCCGGCCTCCCACGAGTTATAAAATGAACCCCCTCCCAAAGTTATTGCATTGGATTACCCAAATATCTTTGAGAGCTGCTGCTGGATGAACAGACTGGACCGAAGAACCTGGCCTGCAAAGAACCTAACCGGGCCAGAAAGTACTTTCCACTTAACCGAGCCATACAGTAACATCCGTTGTTTCCATTCTCCATCTGAAGCTTAATAAGTGCTCTACTCTTGTGAACTAGGTTAAATAGATAGTTATGTTTTTGTTTAATATGAAATACATATATTCTTATTCTTCCTATTCCTATTCTTATCTTCAGGTAACACAGAGTACATGTCAGATTAAATAATACTACTTCAGCGATAGTATCTAGGTGTTACATACTTTATTGTATGTCTCATACAATGTCCGTTGGTTGTGCTGTTCTTTTTACATCTCTGACTGAAAATGTTTTATCATTATCTCCCTTTTATCTCCTCTTTCCTTCACCTTTTCTCCTTTTTTTCTGTGTTTCCTCTTCTGTTCTACTTACATTGCAGTGTCCATATAATCTGTAAAACTCCCTGCATAATTATAATAAAGCAATTTATATGCATTAAAGAAGCGGAACGCTATAGCGATAGCCCTTCTGCTCCACTTGTGAAAGTAAAATCTGTTGGGCTCTTTTTGGCATCAAGACAGTTATTCTTATTGCCACATTGCCAGACAGGACACTGTTAAAAAACATGAAATATAATTTCTGATTAAACTCTGAGTCAACTTTTGACTGAATGCTAATGCTCACTGAACAGACTGATCAAGCAACATGAGTCTGAAGACACTGCTACAGACACTGCTATCTTTAGCTCCAGATACCGCATGCTGGACACACTATAGAGGTCATGATGTAAACTTTTACCTTTCCTTTGTTTCATCTGGGCCTGCCTGGACCAGGTAATCTACCCCATTCCTTTTCAGCTTCACTTCAGGTGATTATTTATTTTCCACCAGAAAACTATATCAAACTACACAGTTTTAACTGCATTTGACTCCTGTGTCAGGGTCTATTCATATTTATCTGCTATTTTTTTAAAGGATACTTTCAAAGCATTAAAGGGGAACACTGTTTTTTTTTTACATTGGACCCTTGATTTTACATTATTACATCATGTTCTACTTACCCATATTAGTTTTGTGTCATTTGGAGCTGTTGCGAAGATATACGGTTTTGTTATATCGAAGTAACGTCTTCCTATGGGCAACGAGTTGAAGGCACAAACTTAACTGTTCATAATTTATTATTTATGGTACGCCAGCATTCCTAACATGTAGGTGAATCTCTGTCCCCCAGACACCCACAGTTATATTTTTTATATTTATATTTTTTTTAAACAAAACGGAGTGTATGACATCAAAATAAAATCTTCGGAACAGCTCCAAATGACACAAAACTAATATGGGTGAGTAGAGCATGATGTGATAATGTAAAATCAAGGGGCCAATGTAAAATAACGGTGTTCCCCTTTAAGCCTTAAAACTTGAACACTCCTCAGAGACACTTCAATTGACTTTTAAACCCGTTTTTCTCTTTTATTTGTTTATTTGTGCTTATTTTCAGTAGTGTTTAGTGCCTGCGTAGTTATTAGATATAATAGTACTGTGTGATTATTAGCTAATAATGGTACGATTGTATCTTAACCTGGGGTCTTTTCTGTTTATCAAATTGCAGTTATAATCATTCAACTATAATGATTAATTGGTTTTATCCTGGATTTGAATTACCAATTAATTAACTAGTTCCAGTTTTTAATATATTAATAATCTTCTAGTAAATTTGCACAGCAGCAGCAATGAAGCCTTCAGGACTCTCAGCAGGTGGTTTCCACTGTGGACTGGAGGGAAACCTGCACAGGAACCAGACTTGATGCTAAAAATGTGTTCAGCTGGGTGAGCTTGGAGCTCAGTGTGTTCACTCTAACACTTTAAGATGAGAGCTGAAAGGAAGCTGGCTCTGCTCCACAGCTGCTCTGAACAGGACTGAAGTCCCTGCTGCTCTTTATCCTGAATGGGCTGCATCACTGACTGATGACAGCTGACAGCTGAGCGAGAGGCTAGAAACACTCACTGATCTCCTCTCATCATCCTTCTTCTTTCTGCAGGTGGTGATGATTTTGGTGGAGGAGAGAAGCTGATCTGTGTCCTGATGATCCTCAGTGGTTGAAGCTGCAGCAGTTTGAGTTTAAAGAGACTTTGGCTGGATGCTAATGATGAACTCAGAGTTTAGAGATTTGTTTGTTTTGACTCCTTTTTTTTCTCTTTGATTTCATCGTCTCCATAATATCATGTTGATATTTTTTACATCCAAATTAAAATTGAGAATAAAATGATCTATAACATGTGAAAAGATTAATTAAAAAAAAGAGTCCTGAACAGTATGAACAAACTTTTAATGAACTTTAATGTTAAATTTAGAGGATGCTGTTGTACTTCAGAAAGTACTCTCTCTTTGATTTAATATTCCCACTGAAATTCCTGGATCAAATCTGAAAAGCAGCTTTGTCTTTCTGATTCTCTGAGAGCTGCAGCAGTTTCAGATGTTGAGATTTTTTTTTAGGTGTTTCCTCTATTTCTCACCATTCATTCTGTCTCCATGTTCACCTGCTGAAACCTTTAGATCCTGCTGAAAATCTTTGTTGTTCCTGCTGATGAACCACCACTGTGGCTCATTGTTAGCAGGTTAGCTAAAGCAGGTGTGGAGCGATCCAGGACCTCAGATGGACTCAGGAAGCCCTTCCAGTCCGGCCCCAGCAGGGTGGAGGAGGGCTGCTGTCATTAAGGAGGAGCTGCTTGGACAAAAAAATAGAGTCTAAGGCTGAATCCCATCATTTGGCCTTAACTCTTCCTCACCAACCCTAAACTAGTGAGCTGTTGGGGATCCTGGTTGTTCTGAGGAGTTGTAGGGGGAACAGGGATTCTGTTTAGGAGACCGTTTGGAAGCAAAGATGTTAGAGCTGAGCTTGGAAATGTTGGTTTTCTCATTTCCAATGTTTTAATGACTCAATAACCATTGTAGTGTCTAATTAGAAATGTTCTGATATTTCATGTTGTTTTCCACTGTTAATTATTCTGAACCAGTTTAAAAACAGCAAAGATGGAATATTTTATTCAATATTTGACTCTATTAGTTACTATCCTGGTCCTGGAGGGTAGCAGCTGGTCTGGATCAGTGATCATCTGGACAATTTTCTAGTTTCCAGTCTGGTGTGAAGCTTATAAATTGCTCATTATTATTATTATGTTATAGTGTTGAAATTTGAATGTGTCTGCATGGTTCTCTCAGGATACTCCAGCTTCCTCCCACAGTCCAACTAATCACTGTTAGGCTTTTTGCTGTTTCTAAGTTTCCCTTAGGTGTGAGTGGGTGTCTGCATGGTTGTGTGTCTCTATGTTGCCCTGTGATGGACGACTTGTCCAGGATGGATGGATCCTATTAAATGGATCTAGAAAAAAACTGCAAATGTGACAGAAAACCTCATAAAAATACTTTTTATTGTAACCTGTAACAATGTTCAGAACTTTGCTAGCAAGTGTTTTGTTCCTCAACAGCCTGAAAAATGCATGTCTAATTTAGAAAACATATTGATTAAAAAGCTGAATGGAAAAAACTTTCTGAATCCATGTACTTGTCTTTACTTGAACAAAAAAGAAAATCTTTGGTATAGTTGGGAAAACTGTTGGGATCTGGAGGTCTGTCCACTTTCTCCACCAGAGGGCGTACTAGATCTCCTGGAGCCGGAGCTGATTGTTCCACCTGTCGCTCGTTTGCTCATCAGGAGACCAGTATATAAGGAGGCAGAGGACGTCTCTCCAGTGCCAGAGTGTTTGCCA